GAGACTCGTGTGTCCCCCACACTGGGACCAGCAGGCCCTGTGGGACCCCCAGTGAAAATCTATTACCGCCAGGGGAAGTAAGCGTGGAGATCCAAGGCAGCATCAGTGTGCAGTTTAGGATTTCTTCTTCCAGTGATTTTGTGCTTCCCATTCGGGGGGCGGGGGGCATCCACAGCCTCCTTCCCGTCTCCCCGGCTTTTTCCCAAGTTGCAGATAATTGTTGTGCAAAGGATCAGGTGAAGTGTCCTCGATTTCTCTGGTCACCCGGGGCAGATCCTTTCTGAGTTACGAGGCATCCAGAGTCTGATTATGCTGCCTCTCCAGCATTCCCAGTCTCTGCCCAGGCAGGGAGCAAAGGACCACTCTTGATCCCACACGGGGGCCTGGGTCGTATGACTCGCCTGTCTTCCATTTTCAAGTCATCTGCTCCCTTTTCATATGCCCAGCTCAGGTAGTTGAAGGCTTTAACGATCTCTAGGGCATAGGGGAACTAGGCCCCTCTATGGCAATTCCTTATTCACCTTTACGCTCTTAAGCAGAAGGTTCTTGGCTGTGCTTATTGAGAAGTCACCAAGGGGAGAGCCAGCTGGCGTTCCAGGGACCAGTGCAGACCCCTGCACACACAAGTGTTTGGAATTACAGCAGGTTAAATCTAGCCTGAGACCCGAGTAAGAGCTCGGGCTGGGAAGCTCAAGGCCGGGACCGCAGGGATCACTGTTTGTCGTCTGTCACAGGTTCGCTGTGCTGCAGTCTTCGCACTGGGCACCTTCGTGGGCAACTCGGCCGAGCGGACTGATCACTCCACCACCATCGACCACAACGTGGCCATGATGCTGGCACAGCTCATCAACGACGGGAGCCCCGTGGTGCGAAAGGTACAGACGGAGGGGCAGCGGGAAGCGAGGTGGATTCGTGCTGGTGACCTGCCCAGTAATGCTAAGGGGGTTAATTGTGGGTGTTGCGGGGGAAGCAGACTTTGTGCAGTAAATTTCTTCCTCGGTAGTCACGGGCCTGATTCCTGGGAAGCATTTGTTCAAGTTCTCTGTCCTTTGACAGCTGGTAGAAATGCTTCCTTCCTGCCCGGGAGCCGCACCAGCTAGCTTCAGTGCAGAGCACCGCAAAGTGGCACCTGCTGGCCAGCACTATGCATACAGCTGGGTGGTCAGGGTGGCCAACCAAGGCACAAAGCCCCAGGAGTTGGGAAATGATTAAAATACCCAGTAGGGGTGCACTATGCTTGCTTGCCCTGGGCACTAAAATGCCTCGTGACAGCTCTGCTGCTTGCCCCGGGAATCTGTGTCGCCCGTTGCCTGTTGTGGTGTCACACGCAAAGCGATACAATACGGTAGCTTAGCAGGGTCAGTTTTCTGGGGTTGCCCTTTTACGTGAGGCAGCACAAAGTTTCCCCTGGTTTGTAGGCTCAGGGAAGGGAACGCAGCAGTTGGTCGAGTTGTCCCACCAACAGGAAGCTATCCTCTGCTGTTGAAAACCAGCTGTGTGGCTTTTCTGTACGTTGAATATCACAGAGTAACTTTTCATGACAGAGTGAGGGGTGGGGGCTGGAACGGGAGAGTGTATAAACTGCAGCGGTGCCATCTTTCGGAAACCCTGTGGAGCAGTGTTGCAACTGACCATCGTTAGCGGAGCAGGCGTTTCAATCAGGGCTCGTTTCTGCCGGCTGGGGGGCCTTCTCATCTTTATTGGCCGTGTCCCCTGGCTTTCCAGCTCACATTCAAATCCCCCGGGCGCACATGCCCTCAAAATCAAAATTGCCTGGGTCAGTTAGACTCCTGCAGCGGAAGCTTTGCATTGTGAAATTGATGACACGGCGAACTTGCTCTTTGACTCCTCTGCAGCGGAAGCTTTGCATTGGGAAACTGATGACACGGCGAACTTGCTCTCTTGGTCCCTGGTGACCTCTTCTTGTTGGCTTTCCCTTGTTTTAATCTCTTGCCCTCAGAGAAACTGCTGAGAAGAGTTTCCTTCAGCACACGTGAGCCTCTGGCAGCAACGGCTGCTTCAGCTACAAATGAATACCACTGTCCCAATGGAGTGGCATCGATTTCTCCAAATCTCTTAATTAAAAATTCCTTTGAATGATAGGGAGTTCAGTCTTCGGCTGGCTCGGCTTGCAGTGTTAAGACACAAGCTACGAAAGGGTTATTGCCCAGCCTCTAATGAGGAGTTTGGCTGCCCCGTGGCTTCCTGCAGATGGTTCTGGGTTGTCAAGCTGTCTGTGTGGGTCTGCTGGTGGTACAGACTCTGTGTGTGTCTGAATTCCAAGGCCTTTGGAGTCCATCATTTTCTGGTTTCGTTTCCCGGGAGGCTTCTGAAAATGTCAGTCTCCTCTTGGCTTTGTGCTGCCGGCACGCAGAATACAGGAGAACTTCAGAGTGACGAACCCCAGAGGTACGAACCGACCCATCAACTACGTACCTCGTTTGGAACCAGAAGCATGCAACCAGGCGGCAGCAGACACGGAAGAAACCAAAACCGTTCATTAGTGTTTTAAACACCCCGTGAGGTTCCCGTGGCCCTACGGGAAAGTAAGAATAGAACCTTTGTACCCTTCCAAGCATGTCGTAAGAGGTGACTAAGGAGGTTTGGGCGTAGGGTTCGCAACCCTATCCTGTAAAAATAAACATATGCTACAAAAACATCAACAATTTCAATTTGAATAGCAAGCCAGCCTTCCTTGACTAAAAAAGGCCTCAAAGAGGGATTATGATGCGGGGAGGCAAACCCGAAAGGATGCTACACTGCCGATTCCCCTTCTGCAGCAAGAAAAAGGGGAAGAGGAAGGCCAAAGAATAGTTGGAGAAGAGACCTGGATGTGAATTTGAGGAAAAGGGGTCAAAGCTGCAGAGAATTAGAAAAGGTGGCACAAGACAGAGAGGCTTAGCAAGAAATTGTTGATGGTCTATGCTCCCATGGGAGCTAAGGGCAAAGAAGAATGTTTTAAACATGAACTACTTTGCAAAAAGGGAAAGCAGCATTTTTCTGCTGCATCGTACTGAAGTCAATGTTCCGTTGTGAACTTTAGAAAGAACAGCCATAGCATTTTGTTCAGCGTTACAAACAATTGTCATGGCCACGGTGTTGGTGACTCTGAGGCGCCCTGTAGCACTGTGCTGCTTTTCCCGCACTCTGCAGACACTGACGTTAAGCGGGCATGCGGAACGTGGTTGAGAACATTGAGCAGCCCCAGGAGTGCCGACCATGGGCAGCGCGCTAGATCGGACACACAGGCCTCTGGGAGTTGCTTCAGCAGTCGACGTTCCGGGGCTGTCGCAATGAAGAACTAATGCCATTTGCCATCTGCCCCGAGCCGCAGGAAATTCCATTTCCACTGCTGCTGCTCTGTGGAATCTCGGCAATGGATTTTAATAGGCATGTCATCTCGTTTGCTGCACGACACGAGGAATCCCCTTGAAACAGAAATGTACACGGTACATAAAACATATTGTGCAACATAATGACCAAATAACAAAAAAGATCATATATTAAAATAGGGAAGCTGAGACCACAGTACATTTGCTGTTTACCAGTACACCACTGAGACCGGCTCACCTACCACTTCCTCGAAGCCAATGTCTGAAGCAGGAATAAATCAGGCAGCGGTTAGTGAGCTTGTTTGTACACTGGCTCTTGGAGTATGAAATCAGCCCAGAAATGGGGGCAGGGAAAGAAGAGAATTGGGCATCTTTATCCAGAATTGTTACTCGTGAGATTTCTATCTGGCTTTATGACATCCTCCAGAAACAAGAGCTGTGTGCTGTCCCTGTACCACTCTGCTGTTTGTTATTGGTTTGGTAGCAAAGTTTTACATTACAGGACTTTGGGTTTTAAATTAAATATGAAATATTAATTTGTTACTGGAAGCTTGACGTGTACAGAGGCCCTGTGGGAGGGAGAGAGGAAGGACCGAGAGTGCAGCGGAGAGAACATGAGAAGTCCATTCAGTGGAGAGACCTTGTTGCTTTCAGAAACCACAGGGAGGAAATAACAATTGTATTAAATCTCATTTTGAAAATATTGCGTGATACTCAGATTAAGAAGAGTCTCTGTACATCTGAGAGAGTGTCCAGACTAGTCACAAATACAAAGTACGTTTTCAAAGTCATGAGATATATGTACTTCATCGTGCTTAATCAGCAATTCTCCAAATTTAAGATAATACATGTTACAATGCAGTTTACATATTAGCACCCACTTATTCGGGTACATCACCCAGGAAAAGTTCTACAGAGAGTTGGTTGTGGAAAGCAGAGATCAAGGAGTGGTAGTAATACAATGGGAACAATAATTCCTTAGTCTTCTGAAGTTCCTGTGTTCTGACCCTCCATTATATGGCAAAGCGCAGTAAGTGCTTGCTAAGTTGTCTGTATTGTTCAAGGCAGACCCCACCTGCCAGACACTGCCAAATTGTTCCTGGCAGGATTGGCTTGCCAGCAGCTGCTCAATCATTCCAGACATAGCCAAACTTCCTGTTTATTTAACTGGAATATTAGTTGTACAACGGGCTGTGTTGAGCCGGCAATGAGAGGTTGAATCTGGGGCCTTGTTCCACCAGCCTTTTATGCTTCACGTTATTCATTGGTGGACCTGTTTTTCAGGGTGCACGATCTTTGGAAAATGCAGATCTCTCTCTTGGTGATCTACGCTGTCAAATCGGTGTTAGCAACAGCCCTCAGCTCTCCAGCCAGTGACTTTGATGGGACCTAACAATCCCAAAGAGAAGATGAGTTTTGGTGTCCACTTCCCCATCCTCTCTCTATGGCTCCTGTGTTGCAGTCATTGAGCCAGAATTAAGTGTAGGGCTTCCTTCCCAGACCAGCAGTGTCAGTCCTCAATTAGCCAGCATTGGTTTTAAGCCTGGTGTTCTCCCCCTCAGTCCTCAATTAGCCAGCATTGGTTTTAGTAGATTAGGATAAGCCTGGTGTTCTCCCCTGGACTGGCTCTGATGCTGAGTTCCCGTGTTTTTCATGGTGGCTGATATCGGTGACTGAGTTTAGAGCGAATGTAGCTCAGCCAGCAGGAGTACAGCTCCTTCCAGCAAGTGTAGCTTGGCTTTTGCCACAAGGAGCAAGAGGCCTGCTCCTTAGCATGAGTTGTTATTTCATGCCAGGAAACGTGTCTGGCCTGGCAGGGCAGGCCAGGAAATGTGTCTGGCAAGGCAGGGCAGCTTGGATGTGAGAGGAAGGAGCTGTGAGCGGGACGCCGGGTCTGTTCTTTCTGTGACAGTGCATCACTTTGACAATATCAGGCTGAATCAAAGAGCAGGGGAGCCTGGCCAGGAATAAAAGATCTTTTGTTATGGAGAATTCATTTTGAAACTCAGCGCTCTGGCTTTCTTCAGATCTTTGCACTGAAGGGAAGGAAAAATCGATGCTTCTCCAAACCAAATATAAAAAAGTGCCCTCGTTCCTACTCAAGGTGACAGATGAGCATTAATTTTGACAGAGAGCTGGTTTCACAGGGATTTTTTTCTGCCTTGTTTTTTAAATAAGATGCTCACAGAGGCTGTTTGCCACCATGTTACCTCAGAGGAAAGGGAATATGCAAACTCTGCCATCTTAGCTGTTGGTTTGGTGGGGTGGAGTGAGAGAGAGAGCGCTACCGGGGTTTTTGTATATTCTTACACTCTAGAGAGACAGAGAGATGTACAGGCTGGAGCTGTCGGTAAGCCGTCTGTGTCAGCATGGGCCAGTTTGAGAGGAGTTGTACACCTTGCTGCCTGCTGTTAGGCAAGGCCAGTCCGTTCTCGTTAGCAGGCTGAGGACTGAAATATACAAGACTCCCAATTTTAAAAGCATTCTGGGAACAGACTCTGGCATAACTCCATGCCCTGCCTGGTTTTGAGATTTGAGGTATCTCAAAGGAAGTGAGGACCCTGAGTCTTGTTGGCAAGTGACCTCACCTGCACTATTTGGGGGGGTAGGTTCATTGTGGGAGCCTTTGATTTGCGGAGCAAGAAAATGTAACAGGGTCCAAACAGTCTAAATAGCAGCCTCATTCCTCTCTTTGTAAGCAGGCTCATTGGGGGTCTGTTGATCTAGCATTGCTGTAAATGTAAGATCATGCGCCCTTCAGGCCTGACTTTGCTCTCGCTGGCAGAGGGCTCTGTCCATCTTTGTTATGATTTGGCCTGCCTGTGGCATTCGTCTCCAGAGAAGATTAGCATCTCTGGAATGCAGTGTACATCTACACTGCAGTGCAAGCTGGGGTGCAACCTCCGAGCCCTATTGCTTTGCAGTGTCCACGCAGCCCTGCTTGACAACTTCCTTAGGCCTCCCTATCTGAGCAATCTGTAATTCACTCTATTGATAGCAGAATACACCCCCTTTTGCAAAGGGCAGCAGCTCAGGTCCCCGTTAACCCATTCTAGGCTGATCCCTGATCTGCAAGGACCTGGTCAGAGTGCTGCTGGGCTTTGCAATGGCAACCAAACCAATCTGGCCTCTTGCAAAGTGAGCTGCTTCCTGGTAAGGTGTGCACCAGGCTGTCAGGTTTTCCCACAATGCATCACAGTTCTTAGGGCTAGAGCAGGGATGGGGAGGGAGCTCTAGGGACTCTGGGTTGTGGTCACTTTGACTTGGGTTTGCACACTGCGGTGTGGACAACAGAGCCCTGCTATTGAGCACAGGTAGAAGAGTCTACGTGTACCATGTTGACTGTGAAGCCTACGGTTCCCTAGCACAGGTCAGCAAACTCCAGTCCCACTAAGCCTGGGCTTCCATGGCAGCATGGACCTGCCTCCAGGGGACACAGCGATCCCCTTGCTTTTCGTGGCAGAGGAGCATCTGGGTCGCTCTCTACTTCAAGAAGTATTTGGCCTTCTGTGGTAGAGTCCCTTGGAACATGCCTTGGCCGAACCAAGCGAGCGATAGCTGCAGTGGCCTCCCCCATGTGCAGGCGCCGCTGCATGTTTCCCTCATGTGCCTGAGTCCAGAAAGGTGTCAGAGCAGCATCCACTGGCCTGCGCTGTCGGTCCCCTCGCCCGCGAGTAGAAGAGCAAGTGCGGGTGGGCACCGCGACAGTTCCTCCTTACCGCACGGCCTGTCATCGTTTGCTGGGCTGCATAACAGATCAAGGCAATGGTCCTCCCCCAGGCGTGTCAGCTCATGCCGGGCAGGCACAGGCTGCCCCACGGCATGCCTCCCTGACGCTCTGCTACAGGGCATCCGCAGAGTGGCCCCCTCGAGCTCTCTCTGCGCCTGGGTGACACGCTCTGGCCCAGGTCATGTCATGGCTGCAGACTCAGAGATGGGATCAGTGTCACTCCGGCCTCCAGTCCGAGCACTGCCAGCCAGTCTCCCCCCCGTGCAAGACACACAATGGCCGGCCCTCGGAGAAGTGGCTATTACTTACGCCAACGAGAGGTTCTTTGTGATCTGTGTCCGATCTGTATTCCACTGCCCTTCCTATGGGCTAGAGCCCGCTGGATTTGTGGTGAGAGGAGAACGAGAGAGACGTCAACCCCCGGTACCTGGTGTTCCCTCGGATGGGAGCACCGGGAGCGATGCTGCACAAGCGTGGGCCAACAGACGCTGTTGTAAAGCATTTCCTGACTCGGGTGTGTGGTGCCCATGCACGCCCATGTGTGGAATACAGATGGGGACTGCCTAGCATGAAGAGCCAGTAACCTCCCCTTTGATCCATTGTGTTTGACAAACGGCAGGAGAATTTGTACAAACTCTGGTGATCTCATTGGCACTTCCAGGGTGCCCGCAAGCCTAATTTACGCAGATGTCTTTGTTAAAAATCCTTTTTCTTTGGTGGAAGCACAGCCCGGGGATCCTAAATCAGATCTCGTTCCCTTTAAGTCATCTTTGAATTCTTCCTAGAGTTCTGTTCCGGCCAGGCAGGGGTCCGTCTGACTGATGCACTTTATTTCCAGTGACATATTCCTTCTCAGGCAGGGGGGTCTGCCGAGAGCAGAGACTCCTGGCATTTTCAGAGAAAAATGGCCCCTCTGCGTCCGTATTGGGTGCCACCTCTGTCTTGTGAATGACTCTGGAATGGCCTCTTGACCAGGTTGTTCCCCCTTGTTCGATGACATCTGTTCTGCACAGCCAGTTTGTTTGTTTCTGACACGCACTGTCATCCAAGGTCTGTTTCTCCCCCTCCCTTTCTCTCCCCAGGAGTTGGTGGTGGCGTTGAGTCACCTCGTGGTTCAGTACGAGAGCAATTTCTGTACGGTTGCCTTGCAGTTTATGGAAGAAGAGAAGAATTATCCTCTGCCCTCTCCAGCTACCACAGGTACGTCCGTCCTTCTGTCTGCTCATGACCAAGGGAAGCGTGGTCCTTACAGTGCATAGGAGCTTGAGGCGTTTGAATGCATGACCAATAGCCGCCCGTGCTAGGGAGTTCAGTGGGTGCTGTGGGCAGTGTAGTGTATTTTACTGCAGAACTGCATCTTGGGGATATTTGCTTCTGAAAATCCTGAGAGGTGCTTGGAGTCCCGGAGACTGAAATCCTTGCGAGGAGCTTCTCTCAGAGAGCACGTTGTCAAGACTTCATGGAGCAGCTTGCCTGACGCCGCGCGCGCTGTGCTTGTTCCTGGGTGAACAGGGGACTTTCCGCTCTCAAACTTGAATTGCTGCAGCCAAGGAGAATCCTCGTTGACGTACCACGAGCCGGTCCAACTGGTTGTGTCCAGTTCTCGTCTCTTCTCGACTCACAACCCTTCGTGTTGCTCTGCCCTCCCGCAGTGGCTCTGGGTGCTCCAAAGCCTTTGCTTTGTGATTCTGGTCCTCAGTACTCAATGTGCTATTTTTTTCTCACCCCTTTCTTCCTTGTGGATTTTGCTTCCTTTAAGGGATTGAAAGTCCTAGAGAAATTGTGATTGGCCTTTCATTTTTTAGACATTCAATAAATTGGAACTCACCAGGAATAACAGAGCTGTGGCGACAGGGAACTTGCAGAAGAGAAGATGAACTATTTCAGCAATGAGTAATTAATCACGTCTTTCTGAAGTATGAATCCTATTAGAGGACTGGTTCCCCCCCATTCGTCCTCTCTGCTGCAGAAAATAATCATCCCGTCCAGGTCTCTTACTCCTCCAGAAGGATGCCCCCAGTGCGTTATAAATGGGATGTCCAGAAAGCACTGCTCCCGTTGCGCTGGTGGAATGGGGCGGCACTAACTTTACCTATGTGCTTTTAGGAATGGGACTGAAGAATGACTTTTCCAGTTGAAATTGCAGGTATTCGGGGCAGGCGGTGAAATTTAGCCAGGAAACCCAGGATTAAATAAGCTTTTACTGCAAAAATGTTCCCCAGTTGTTAATGAGTAGAGGCAATGAGCACATCAGATGTAGGTCTCTAAACAATGTCCCCTTTGGCACCACGCTCGGGCGTTACTCAATTACTTAGGCATAAATTGCCTAGGGAAGTTGTGGAATCTCCATCATTGGAGGTTGGACAGACACCTGTCAGGGATGGTCTAGATGGTGCTTGGTCCTGCCATAGGGGCAGGGGATGAGACCTGATAACCTCTCAAGGTCCCTTCCAGTTCTAGGATTCTAGGATTAGCTCGGTATTGGCTTGGAGGGAAGAATCACCAAAACCACCACTTGCAGTACCCTGTTTGTCTTACTGTTTTTCACTCAGGAATTGCCAAAGCCCAGCCCTGTTTAGCCTATGGGATATGTAAGGACTGCAGCCCACAAAACATGGTTCTTTGGTCATTGTCCTTGGTGTGAGCAGAGAGGATTTGGGGAGAGGGGAGATGAAAATTCCAGTCCTTCATCGTAATTTTCTCCTTGTTACAGGACACCGGGCAGTGAGCCCCCTTTTCTGTGGTAGTTGAGTTTCCCTTGTTTGCATGATTGGCACTGATCTCGCTACGTTGCTGGGAGACGACGGCTCCCCGGTTTTCCTCGCGAGGGCACGTCTCACGGCTAAACTTTCTCCCCGCAGAGTGTGGGAACTTGACACCAGTGCGAGATGGGCCGTGTACTCCAAGACTTCGTCCTGTCAGCTCCTATGGGAACATCCGAGCGGTCACCACGGTGAGGAACCTGAACAAGTCTCTGCAGAACCTCAGCTTGAATGAAGAATGTAAGAGGGCTTGCGAGAGTCTTCCGTTTTTCCTTCCTCCTTTTCCCACGTGACTTTGTTTTGTTCCTTTCTCAGCTCTTCTCTGCTGTGGCATGTCATGAGGAAAGGGCCTTGAGCTGACTGTTACCACACGGTATCCAGCTGCCACCCGCAAGGGAACAATTCCCAGGCTAACAGGCTATTCAGTGGTATTGACATTATAAGCTACTAGTGACCAATCAGGGCATCTCCTCATGCACATGGCTTTTACCAGCCTGGGTCTACTGAGGACTTGATGCTCACCCTCTAATGCAGGGCTACTCAACATGCAGCCCATGGGTGGAAGGCAAAACGAAAAAGTAGTCAATATCATGGTTGTCTGTTGCTATGTGTTTTAGTAGTTAAATACCTGGACTGTCATTGCTCATTAAAAGTGCTGCCATATGGTAGAAATCGGGTCACTATTGCGTTTTATTAACATCAGCAGAACTGACTTAAATGGGGCCTGTGTCATGTAGTCTTGCCTTAATCTTTATATTCATGCCCGTCAGTGTGAAAGAAGCTAGTTGCATATATATTTGTATGTAGATGCAACCACACTTAAGTTGCTGTGAGTATCATTGTGGTCCCCGGGGCTTCCAAAATTGAGTAGCTCTGCTCTCATGAAACGTTCAGTGTTCAGAAAGAGGGGTTGGTGGATTTGCCTTGCCCGAGGAAGTTCTCTTTACCTGTTGAATGTCCCAGGGCTCATAACCATTACGTGATGCGTGAGCAAATAAGGTTCATTTGGCAGCATTTGTGTTTGTCTCTCCCCACTTCTCTCTCGGCAGCTGGCGGCTCTGTCGCGTTTTCTCCTGGGAATCTCAGTACCAGCAGCAGCGCTAGCAGCACCTTGGGCAGCCCGGAGAATGAAGAGTACCTCCTGTCGTTTGAGACCATCGACAAGATGCGAAGGGTCAGCTCCTACTCCTCGCTGAATTCGCTGATCGGTGAGTAAGGGCCCTTCCCCCTTGCATTGGTTTTCCAGCTTTCATTCCCTTCCTCTGAGGTGAGGCTCCTCAGAGAATCATAGAACCATAGAGCTGGAAGAGATCTCAGGAGGTCATCAAGTCCAGCCCCCTGCTCTAGGCAGGACCAATCCCAACTAAATCAACCCGGCCAGGGCTTCGTTGATAGACCTCATTGCAGCGGCAAGAGCAAACACCGGCATGCTGGGGGAGTGAGGTTGGGTGAAGAAGGGAGAAAGGGAGTTGACCTGAGGGCCTTGGGGCGAATGGGCCTTAGCAATGACATAGCTGCCGAAGTGTGGTCATAACCCTGTGTTTGTGACAAAGAAAGGGATTCCTGCCGGGAACTTGAGCATGAAAAGGGTAGCAGCATCTACTGGAATCTTCCAGTCCCTGCAGTGTCATGGGCTAGAAATGGAGAGGAAGGCTCTTCCGTCCATGGGCCTGATCGCTGGGCTCATTGGCATGGACTTCACCTGCAGTTGTTTTTCATCTCTGAGGAAGCGTTGCCCCAATGATTTTCCATCTGAGTGTGTTTGCACATGATTACACGGGGTGCCAGAAGGAAGAAACCCTTGGCTTTGTCTGTCTTGGTTGGCAAAAGCATGGCACAGAAATGTGTTCTGAACCAAGCGCATCACAGCTGATCACTTTACATCTCTTTGGGCTCCCGAGCACCAAAGCTCAACAGCCCTGCTCTGCAGTCAAGCCATCGCTCCTCGGTCAATACGCAGCAGGGCTGAGACGTTGGTGCCCAAAACAAAGGAGGAAGGAGAATGGACTCACACTTCCTCCGCGCATGCTGATGTGCATGTCGGATGGAACCTGGCTTTGCTTTTGTGCATCGGCAGTGGGCGTTCTGCTCTGCGCTCGTTCCGTTCTTTGATTATTTTCCTGATGCCTTTTTCAGGTTCAGCCGATTGCGACAGATGCATTTGTCTTTAGCTTGCTGTCTTTTCAAACCTTTCTGATGTGGCTGGAGAACAGCCAGGCACCGCGCCAGGAACCCAGTGTTTGGAATGCAGGCTTGCTCTGGGCTGGAGAAATCAGTGCACCGCTGGAGAAATGATGGGGGAGGCTCATCCCCTTCCATTATGGTCAGTTGCTGTAAAAAATCCCGCCCTCCCGTTGTCACGTGGAGGAGTAATGATCTGCAACACGTATGCCCCACACGCCAGGAGTAGAACGATTCTGGGGTCCTATGAGTGAACACGTCAATTGGCACCTCATGTAGGCCGTTCATGAATGACTGGCAGATCCCCTGACCCTCGAGAGAGTAAAATCAATCTTGTCCTGGCCTAACAAAGTGCAGTCACTGGTGTCTTAAACAATTCAGTCACAGGACATGACCGATAATGACCCTGGTCCCTTCTGAGTGGGCACAACAGGACGCAGCTGTCCCTGGGGCAGGTTAAAGCCTTAGCTCCCTTCTTCGCCTCCTCTCTGCGCCACACTCTCCCAGTCTCCTTCCACCGCAAAGACCAGCTGCCTGCTTGCGAGTTTGTTTGTGTCTCCAAAGAGCTTTACTGCATGGTTGAGAAAAAGTCGAGAAATGAGCTGGAGATGAGTGAGGGAAGCTTAAGAAAACAAAAAAGCGGCACTCCAAAGCCTCCCTCATTCATATTCAATCAGGAAGAGCTCATATCCAGCTGTAAACGACAGAGCTTTATAGAAGTGTTTAAAATTCATAACTTACACGGAATCCCATTACCTTCGGCGTTTGCCTGTTTAAAGTTGGGGTGTTTTTTCATTTCTGCTAAAGAATTGCTGTCTCCCAGCCTGCTCTGCGCTAGGTCCCAAAGGGAAGATTTTTTTTCAGAATGTCTTCAATTCTGCCCACTCTGGTAGGTTGACGCCTTGCCATGCAGCAGGCCCCAGTTTGAGCTGATCCTGTAGAGTCCCTCCTGGAACTGACAAGGCCAGCTGGGACCACTGTTGTATTAATTTAGATGGAATCCACGAGCCCAAAAAGTCAAAGGTGTTTACGTGACGCAGTCACTGCCCTGCAGTAGTGTTAAAAACCAGGTTTTCAGAGACTTGAGCCTGGCTAGTACCATGGTGAACATGTTATTAAAAACCCTTTTAATCTTTGATGAAAGATTCAAAAAAAAAGCAAAAACCAGAGCAATTGCAATATAGAAAGTAACCCTGTCTCTTTTCTAGCATTCCTTATTCCCTTTCACTGAAAGGAGTCTTTAACCAAAAAAGGCCCCTTCTTTGAGTTTTTTAGGGTATGTCTACACAACAGCATTATTTCTGAATAACGGACATGATTCCAAAATAACGTATTGCACGTCTACACAGCAAGCCCATTATTTTGAAATAAATTTGATCTAGTGTGGTTCCTACTCCGACTTCTGTAACCCTCATTGTACGAGTAAGGGAAGTCGGAGGAAGAGTGCACTATTGTGAAATCAGTGCTGTGAGAGACGTGCCCAAATTCAAAATAAGCTGTCTCGAGGTAAGCTACGCAATTAGCATAGCTCAGGTTGCATCGCTTATTTCGAGTGTAGCCCCGCTGTGCAGACGTACCCTCGGAAGGTAGTAAACGTGGTAGCAATTGGGTGTTGGGGGGAAGGAGAAGTTAGCCGAGATGGACAGGAGCAGTCGTCATTGCTGAGGTTGTTCCCAAAAGATAGCCCAAGACAAGCGCACGCAAGAGGGAAGAGAAAAGAGCAGCAAAGACAGAAAATCTGTCTCCAGTGTTGATTTTCCCATGCAGCCTCCCTGCTGGAAAACCACCAGTATGGCAGATGGTGTTATAAGCCACTTGGAGCCATGGCAAACTTGTATCTGTGTCGAGCTGGCGAGGGTACTGCTTTTGTCTGCCTCTCTGGCCACAGGCTGACAGCAGTGCTGTGAAATATACCCCCTTGGCCAGCTAACCCCGGCACGCATTGAACAGAAGGCAAAAGGAGAGGAAGAGGAAAGCAAATAAACCAAGGGTGGGGGAGGAAAAGAACACAGGGGGTGACTGAATGTCTCATCCCAGGTGATAGTCAGGATTTAGCCACAGCCTGTGGAGAGGCCCATCTTCTGAGACCCTCTCTCCGACCTGGTCTGTTACGGACCCTCCTTCAGGATGGGGCTGAAGAAGGTTGAGGGTCCCGGCCGACGGTCGGGGTGGCACCCGTAACGGAGAAGCTTGTCCCGTCCCCTTCTCTCACTGTTGCCAGCTAGCATTCACATCCGCGCGGCTGCATTTTCCCCCAAGAATCTTTGTGAATGACCCCAAAAGGCGCAATGGGTGGACTAGCCCATCGCTCGTCATTTTGTTCACCCGCTAGCCATCATTTCTGATGCCCCGATCTCAGTCCATTAATTTCTGGTCTCTCACGTCTCTTTCTTACTAGGCATGATCTGAACACAGTCCTTGAACAATATGACTGGTAGGGATGTAAAGGGTTAACCGGTTACCCAGTAAGTATTCGCTTTGCTGGCGTGCTTACTGGGGTAACCAGTTAACTGGTGCTTGGCCCAGCCGGAGCAGCCGCGCCCCTCCTTCCCCAAGCGCCGTGAGGCATGCTTGGCCCATCCTGGCTGCTCCAGCCCAGCCGGCCCCACTGCGGCATGGGTATGGGGTTCTCCAGTGTCCTCCCCCCCCGCAGCATGGTGCAGTGTTAAACATGTACAGGTTGGATCTCTCTGGTCCGGAACCCTCGGGACCTCACCGGTCCGAGGTGAGGGATTTTGTCGGTCTGGGGAGGTCATTTCTGGACCCCTGCCACTGGCCTCCCGGCTCGCTCCCCACCTCCTGCCAGCCCTGCTGCCCTGCCAACCCTGCTGGGCAGCCATGGCTCCAGGACCCGCTGGGCAGCCACTGCCAAGCACCACGCCGGCCTGCTGGCCTCCCCACCTCCTGCTGGCCCGGTGGTCCTAGAGCCCCCACATGCAGCCCACAGCCCCACCAGGCAGCCACCGGGCACCCTGTCAAACGTGTTGGGGAGCGGGAAGCGGGTCTGTGCGGGACTGCAAAGGCCCCTTTCTACATCCTGCGCCGCTTCTGCCCCACGTCACTGGGACTAGCCCAGTGAGCGTCCTTCTGCATTGCAGGGTTTTGAGGGAAGGCGTTTACTATTGATCCATCACCAGCTTCCTCTGGGAGCAGCTTTAGCCTTGGGAAGTACTGCGCCTCCGCGCTCCCGGAGAGTCGGAGCAGAGCGGTCGGAGGGCCCAGAGAGGCTGGAGTGGGAGGTGACCTCCCGAGACCCTAGGAACAAGGTTAAGATTCTGTCTCCGGTATTTTTAATAAGACGAGCCCAGATCACGGATCATCAACAAAAAATTCATGCATACTCGCGACATGTGCCTGCCTGACTTTATCTGGGGCTGGAGGGACAAACCAAGTGCTGCCGGCGTTTGCAGCTGCTCCAGCCCCCTACTCCTGCAGCTGACGCT